CAAAGGGTAGAAGCTGTTCTACTCAGGTGCCGATTTCACGACGCGCACTGAGGCCACTGCTTGTGTTTTGGTAGAACCCGAACTTGCTTACAGAATCAACCTTTCAGCCGGAGTGGCAATCGTCCGACTGAACCTACAACAGGCTAAAGCGCTGACCTTGTTACAGGACTGTGCGCCAAATTTAGAGCGAGAATATGACTCCATCCTTAAAGAAGTGGAGCGTGCTCGTATGAAATGCTGAATACGGAGTCCCTAATGGGCGATTTTAATCTGCACATGTAAGCAGACACTGAAAACTGAAAATGCGAAACTAAAAAAAACGGCCCTAAGGACCTCAACAATAACAGCATGAAACTGTTGCGGTTTCGTGCAAACAACGGACAGTCCATTATGAACACCTTCTTCCAGCATGGAAGCGTCACTCAGTGTAACCGGTACAAGAAATCATGTGCAGAGTAGTCAACGATTCATTTGATAATCCATCGTCTGAATTAAGATGCTCTGTAATGGCTGTTCGAGCTAAGAAAGGTACAGAGCTACCAACCGATTATCTCCTTGTTGTTGGCACGCTGCGCTGTAAGAAATGGAGTACCATACGAAGATCTAATGGCAGAAGCAACCAGAGAACCAAAAGGGTAACATTATGTTCGTCGGATAGGAGAACGAAATTTGCAAACATCGCACGACGGCTTGAACAGATTCCAGTGATGAAAACTGATTTTGAAACAGAGTAGCAGCTCTTTAAGAGCGGCACACTCGAGGCTGCCGTTGAATGCTGTGAATATAAACATGTTGGACTGCCGCCAAGAGATCAGAAAAGATCTTTATGGTGGACTAGGATCTTTATGACTCTCTACAACTGGCAGTTAAAGAGCAGAAAACAGCGTTCAAGAAATGGCGTCTACTCGCGTGCAATATGTCGAGGCACGCAAGGCGGCAGCCACAGCAGTGGAAAAAGCCAAGGCTGATTCCTGGAAAAAACTCGGTGAGGTGTTGGAGTCGAATTTCCACACGGCAAACAAAGTATTCTGGCAGACCATCCGCCGGCTCCG